ATATATATATATATATATATATATATATATATATACACGTATATATATATAGGGCCTATATACTTTTCATGTATCATGCATAGGAACGTTGACGCCTGCAAGGCTCTGGTTGTACTTTTGTGATTGTTCTTTGCCGTTTTTATTTATGTACATTCTAATTGTTTGAGACAAATAAATGAAATGAAATTTTTAATACTGGCATGGTTGTAGTATGTTCTCTTCAAAAGAATTCCTATTCTTGTATTGTAACAAATAATGATAATTCAAAGAATGATTCAAAAATTCAAAGTTTCTTCTATACCGGTCATATTTATGCAAATTTATTTAAACTTTGACAATTGAGATTAGGCCTATTTATATAGAATACCCAATCGGCTGTGGAGGTCCCGATTTGTGAAAAGAATAGCATGCGCACATACTCATGGAAGCACCGCTTCCATTCCAGTGTTAAATTGGCTATTCTGATGCCAACACATGGTTGTCACAATAGCAAATTTAGCTGTTGTGGGGTATACTCTGACTGCCATTGACTCACAGAATGCGTGATTGGCTGATATTGAAAACCAGCCATGCAGAAATTCTAAGCAGCTGAGAGTACGATGCAATATGCCCGACTGTGAATTATTCTAGATACCAAAGTAGGCCAAACATTGAAAAACTTTGCTATTCCAATGAAATGTAGGAATCCACTCAAAAAATTAAGGTTTATATAAGAAATGCTAAATAAAGCGAAGAAACTGTACCATATTTTTTTTTAACTTGCTTTAGTCAGGGTATGCATTATATACCTTGCTTGCCTTTACAAAGCGCCACTGTTTTTGATACAAAAGTTAATCTAATACTGAGTATAAAATACATTTAAAATTAATTTAACAACAAAAAAGGGGAGAGCTCAAGTACAGTAATATCAAAACAAGATATAAAATAAATTTTAAAATATAATTTACTTGTGCTAAAATCAAAGTAAAAACAAGTTATATCAAATTTGTACATTTTATTTTACCAATATATCCTATACACTTGAATATTTACAAATTTTTACTTTTTGTAAAGAAACTTTTCCATGTTTAAATTTGAATTTGATAATGAGAAATTTAATTTATTACTGTTATTTATTATTATTATTTATTATTTAATTATTATTATTTATTTAAATTATTACAGTATGCTATAAAATTATTACAGTATTATTATTTTGTACATATTTTTGTATTCTTCACGTTTACTGTATTTATGTATCCGTTTGATGTTTGTGTTCCCTCCTGTAAGTGGCGAATTTTATGTTTGCTGTTGGCTGGGATAATAAATAAATAAAATAAAATAAAATAAAAAAAATGAATGTTTTTTTTTTTTTGTTAGATGGAGAACTGTGTGATCTGTCTCGGCCCCATCATCAAATGAGGACCATTAGAGATTCCTCCAGTTGCTCTATTGAAGATAGAGAGAATAGGAATGTCCACTTGACAACTGATTATTGCCTGTCTAATGTGATTAGCAATGTAATTCCTAGTCCTTGTCAGGACTCAGTTGGATGTCAGTTGCATTGCAAATGTACTCAAGAACATCCACAGAGCAGCTTCTTCTCAACTTCTACTCCATATTCAAGTAGCCAAAATAGTACCAAGATGACTCATTCAGAAATTCTTTTCACAAACGTTTCACAATATTCTAATGATTCAAGTCCCACATCGTATTCAACTTGGCCAAATCGGCAGACATCAAATATTCCAAGATCATGGCCATCTGGAAGGCAAACAGGACGGAAAATGCACACACCAGTAGATACACATCCACAAGTACCTACACTACGAACTTCAGCAGCTCATCCAGATGGTATACGTCAATATAAATATGATGGGCCTGGCCTTGTGTCCTTCGTACAAAGTAAATTTTAGTTTTATTTTGTATTGTAGCATTTAAGAATTATTTTGATAGTATTAAATTTCTGGAGTAAGCCTATACAGTAAAACATCCATTTTACAAACATTGATTTTACAAATACTCAATTTTAGGAATGGTCTTTGCCCCAGATGACGTCATCACCGATCAATTAATTTACGTAAAAAAAGTCTGATTGCGCACATTTTAAGTGATAATGTGTATTTTTCTTGATAAAATCAAGTTTGTTGTATTTATTTATCAATAGTTCGATCTTCTCTTCCATTTATGGCATAATAATCACTAGAATGTAATAAACCTAACCAGCACAACAAACTACCAACACAAGTGTTGTCAGATTGAGCGCACATGTTTACGATGATCACCCAACTTATTGACATTGTGAATGCTAGATAGGATCGCGAAATGCATGTAAACAATACAATGCGGCAATCTAACAACTA